TCACATTTGGTATTGCCACTTCATTAAACATGGTAAAAGTTCTACTGTAGTACTTAATGGCCTCAGGTAAAATTGTTACCACATACATGGTACCAGTCCTAATGCACTACACATTGGCCACATTTGATATTGTCACTTCATTAAACATGGTAAAAGTTCTTCTGTAGTACTTAATGGCCTCTTGTAAAATTGTTACCCCATACAGGGTACCAGTCCTACTGTAGTCCTCATTGGCCACATGAAGAACTGTCAACTCAGAACAGAATAGTAATCAGATACATATATATTACCTACATCATTGTCGACATAAATGCTCGTTAGTGTTTTGTGAGTGAAAATGTGGAACTAGTTTACCAGATATTATGTTTTACATTTGATATGAAGCATAAACACTTTCCTTGTTCAGAAACTCAGAAGTTCATGTTACGTCAGGTCGGGATTTCAAAAAACCAATGGCTTGTACATTTTGGCTTTTGAGAGCACCACAGAACGACACTGACGGGGATGTGCCGACAGTGTCTCCAGTCGTGACAATGTTCTTCAAGCTAAAAATAATAATTTCATGTTGAAAACTGCTTGTACTATACAAAACATGACAAAGATATAATCTGTGATATACATTTATTGAAAAAGGTAACAATTTTGCCTGTATTGAAGGGCTATGGTGTTCTTGGGATAGAGGCAGCATAAATACAATGAAACAGACTACAGGGTAAGTTACTCTAGCCCGCCCTCACCGACCAAATATAAAGACGATCTTCGGTTTCAGCAATTTATTCTCCACGGTATCACCTGTTTGTTTGAACATACCGCAAAACCAAACTCAGAAAATAAAAATTACCTATTTCTGAAAAGAAATATACTACTAGTATCATTTGTTCCATTTTTCCGTGTTTGTTTTCCTTTTTCTATCTCACACACAGGCTACACGATCATTATGTGAGCAAATCATGTAATTCAAAAAATATGAATATATAAGTAATTTTTTTGGCAAAACCGTGTGTGTTACGTCATTCATTAAACCGTGGCATGTGACATCTATGCTATGACGTATATGTAATTAACGACGATTGTGCACTATAATTCTCATCAATACTTAATAAAGTTATGTCAGGAGCCCGAGATCCGATGTACTGTAGTTCTATATAGAGTGAACCCATTACGTGCGGTTTGTTGGTCACAAATAAATGTCAGCACGACCACATCCAACCTGTTCCCAAATTGGCAGCTATATTGCGGTGTAGGGTCTATTATACAGAATTGTTGATGGTATAAACTTGAATATGCACAAATTGCAGGATAATGTGAAGATTAGCTCGGATTCGATGTTCTGATTACAGACAATGTCTTGCGCAAATTTCACCCGGAAATTCCGCATTGTGTTCTCGCAATCGCGGGCTTAGTCATTTTTACAAGGTTTGACATTTGTGTGGTCACGTGGTAATTACGTAAACATTGACTCTCCAGTTTGTGCGAACTTGTCCCTCTATACTTTGGCTTTTGAAATGTATACGCTAAATTACGGTTCTAAATGAGACAAGAGACAATGAATGCTTTATTTAATCCAAAACGTCACCAAACCCTTTTCGCTACCTTAAGGTACTAGTTGATTGCGGACATTCTACTTAATGGATATGGGCAAACAAGATTTCTGTTTTAAAAGTGTAACATAGTTATTGATTATGACACATGTCATCAAATTTTCGGGATATATTTGTTTGAAAACAGATACAGCCCATATAGATGCAAAAACAAATAAATAGGCGCTATATAAACATTTTTATAATAAGCCATTTTAAAGCATTATTTCACAAACATTTTACCATAGAAACCATTGATAAATGACCAAATAATCACCATGTTCACGGATTTGTATATATTAGGATGTTATAAGCTTGAAGTCAAACTATAGTGTAAATGTCAAGAAAAACCAACATTTGTTTTAAAAGTAGCCTTAAAGAGTTTACCGTAATTTAAAATCGTAAAAGAGATGAAGATGTACGAATTGTAAGACAATTCGAACGTGCTATTAATTTGAGGTATGGTAAATATTTAGCATAATTCGCGCAAATTCTGACAATCAAATACATCACCAGGTCAAAATAGCCCAATAAAGCTAGTTGACTTGTCTCAGAGTGCAACTTTGTCGTCATTACAAAATGGGCCCCGTTTAAATTGTGTGTCTCCGTGTGCCAGAATTATTACGCAACTGTACATGAAGCAGTGAATAAGTACTGAGAAATAATTTTAAACTCATAGTTGCTGTCGACATAGGAAGTAAAGTAAGCAAATAACACCGAATAAACGGCAAGGTAAAGACTATGTCTAATTATAGTAAATACGTACTGCGTGCGTGACTCGAACC